AGCTTATCCCAGAGGGGGTATTGCTGCACACACTGTCTTATAGGCATGGAAAGAAAGACACGGGTCAGCTTTACACACCTCTGCCACTGAATTTTTGCACATTGTAAGAGATTCTGGGCAGTGTTCTAGAGCACTGTCTCAGTTCACGTGTGGCTCTCACAATCACACTATGCCTTTTTGTCACTCCTTGTGAAAAGCTGCTGAGTATGCCCTGGAACATACTCATTCCTTTCTCCCTCTGGCTGGATGTGTTGCAGGAGATCAGCTTGGAACTGATCTTCTGGTTGAGGAATCCTTGCCAACTTCTGAGAACAGAGTTTGAAAATCATGGCATTCATGTTTTTTGTAACTTGGGAAGATTCTTTCAGAGGTTCAGAGGTTCTTTGGACGTTCAGAGGTTCTTTGGACAAACGTGCGAATGGCACAGTGCCACAAAATAAACAGTAGGGTTTTACCAGGTGTGAACAAACCCTCCATGATTGGTCAGAAAGTGTATTTGCGATAACCTAATGAAGATTTCCCCCTTTTCCCAAGTCTATTGATATCACTTAATGATCATTGACAGCTGGTGTTTCAATTGCTGTCTAGGCTAGTCAGCTTGTATTGTCTACCTGGGAGCTATACCATCGTTTCATTCTACAACCTGACATCTGTCCTGGCTTGATCACAAATACACATATTCTCTGTATCTATTTCCATATCCCAAACAATTCATCAACCCTCAAGGGAGAAGAAGACATTTCAGAGAAATCGATCCCACTGAAATCAATGCGATGAACATTCGTGATCTAAAGTTATCTAACTTTCTTCGGATTGGGCCTGCCGTCTCTGCCCCGCAGCAAGGACCCCCTGCTCCTGGGAAAGGACCGCTAGAGACACCCGCCACTTAAACGCTAGCTAGTCTCTTCTCACTAGTTCCCGTGCAATAGCCACCAACCTCTGAGGAGGACTGGAAGTGACTCCTTTTAGAGCCCCTCAATGCTTCTCCTTAAATTGGCCAGTAGGGGTCACTGTTGTCGAATGACACAAGGCTCCATCCCTCCCAGGGTTGAGGCTGCAGCTCTGGAGTGCTCCTAGCTCCTGCTCATGGAGTGAGAAGCAGAATCCAAGAATTAAACCCTCATCTTCTTTCACATGGGGACACAACACAGCTACGGGCTTAGGCAAAGCAGCTTGATCCACTTAGTTCAGGGTCAGAAAGGACAATATTCAGGGAACGAACAGATGAGGCCTGCACGGGGTGGGGGGGGTGGGGGGGCGGTGATCCACCAAGCCAAATGAAGCCCACCAGCCAGGGACAGTATCCTCCCGATGGGTTTCCTACTCAGGACTGTAAAAACGGGGCACAGGAGGAGGATTGCTAAGGTTGGGCACCCGGGAGGTCAAGATCCCTGTTTCCGTGGATTGCGGTATGGCTTGGCAGCTCAGGTTAGAGAGGCCTGGCTAGGGAATTCTCTCTCCCAGACCAATGGGCAATATTTCTTTTCTTTTTACCTTTGAAAACAACCTCATCATCATCATCATCATTATTTTACATTATAACAAACAGAAAATACTGATCTGGCCTAAATGTAAGGTTTTATGTGAGCACAGAGCGCGGAAAATATCAGAAGGTTAATCCATACAATGTCTGTGTGAGGGGGCCGAACTCTTTATTTTTATCATTACTCTTTCTGTGGAGATGAAGAACTAAGGCCCAGAAATAGTGACTAAATCCAAGCAGCCCTCAGTGCTGTGGAGGGCCCCCCCCCGAGATTAAATTGATCCCAAGAGCGCCATAATCCCCAGAACAGGAAGATCAATACTGATGTCAATTTTTCATTTCAAATCTATGGGCTGGGGCTATGGGGAAGTGGACCTGACCAATGTTCCCTCTGAGCTGAGTTAGTGTGAGCTAGCTCGCAGTTTTTCAGCCTCCAGCTCACACATTTTTCTCTTAGCTCCGGAAGGAGGGCCCCAGAGCAAACTAATTTGTGCAGTAGCCGAATTGCTCGCTCAAAACTTTAATGCCAGTGGCTCACAAAGTCGATTTTTTGCTCTCAGGACTCCACAGCTTAGAGGGGGCACCGGACCTGACCCTAGTGAATTTGGGGCACGGCCTGGCAGGTTCAGGTCAGGTTGGTTCTGAATTTTACTAGTTTTTCAGCCCCCTGATATGAGTTACCCACACAGTTTTACAGGTCAGGCTAGTAAAATGATGGCTGGCTGGCAACTAATGGCAAACACACAGAGACCGATTTCACACAAGAGCTGTGCCGCGGTTGCGCCTCCCTTTGCCCCGCTTCTATTAGTCAATTTCCCACTTGAAGCTGCGTGGCCGTGTTTTGACTCGCGGCTTCGCCCGATTTCCCCCACGGTTTCGTGATCCTGTTTTTTGAGGCGCGACCGTGGCGCAGCTCTTGTGTGAAATCGGTCAGAGACTAGCAGAGGGACCGTGAGGAGCAAACGAAGGACAAAACAAAAACATTACGAATGGGAGACAGGGTGATGATTCGGAGAACCAGAGGTTCGTATCCCAGTATAATCTAAAGGGGGAGGTAAGGCAGCACGGTACAGCCTGATCTTGCCAAATCTTGCCAGTTAAGCAGGGTTTGGTACTTGGAAGGGAGACCACCAAAGAAGACTGCAGAGGAAGGCAACGGCCAATGACCTCTGCTTCTTGCGGGCCTTGAAAGCCCCTTGTTGGGGTCACTGTAAGTCTGCCGCAACTTGACGGAGTCCTAAAGGGATCACTTCGAGCCTCTTGGTAAGTGATAATTATCCCTCAGGGGGTGGATCAAAATGATAGAAATCATCATTGATCCTTTATGGATCAAGTAACCCTACACGTAAACATTCTTGTAGCATAATGGTATCATATCAGAACACTGAAGGGGGATTTCCATACTTGTCAGGGAAGTTAATTGACAGACATATTTTTAATCATATTTTTTTTTAGAAAAAAAGCATGTGTCAGGTCCTCATTATTTTGAGAAGATTATTTTGCTTTATTGCTGCCAAGCCTTTTGGCAGTATCGGTTATTCAACAGACTCCTCTTGGGGGCACTCTGTCATCGGCTGCCCTGAGGCCTCTTAGAGGCTCTTTGATTTAATGAAAGGAGTAGAAGCACTCATCGATATTGCCAGGGCTGTGAGGGGCCCCCAATTGCACACAGGGCATGAATTCAGCATCCCAACAGTGGCATCCTAACTAAGCAGGGCTCCAGCCTTCTACGTTCACTGGCATCAGTGGTCTTAGAAGTCTGAAACTCTGCTTAACACTGTGTTGTAAGGATCTCAGCTTTCTTTCTTTTCTTTCTTTTAAACAAGCATCTAACTGTGATGATTACAGAGTAATGCTTGCCAGTGTAGAGGTGATACCTGGACCAATTTCACACAAGAGCTGCACCGCGGTCGCGCCTCCCTTTGCCCCGCTTCTATTGGTCAATTTCCCACTTGAAGCCATGCGGCCGTGTTTTGACCCATGGCTTTGCCCGATTTTCCCCACAGTTTCGTGATCCTGTTTTTTGAGGATCATGAAAATGAGGGGGAAATCAGGCAAAGTCGCAGGTCAAAATGCGAATGGGAAATTGACCTATAGAAGCGGGACAAAGGGAGGCGCGACCACAGTGCAGCTCTTGTGTAAAATCGGTCCTGGTGAAATCTCTCACACACAAAAATTAGTGAAAATGCAAGAGGGAGGGGGAGGGGCTGAATGCCCCGCATAACTCCTTGCCTCCCTCCCCATGATAGCAAAACCAGAATGAAGTCTGGTAAAACAAGAAAAAAAATTGCAAATTAAACAAATTAAGCAAAACAAATTTTGACTCCAGTGCCACCTTTAAGACCAACAGAGCCGCCCTGAGCCTTCGGGGTAGGGCGGGATATAAATTTAAAGATAAATAAATAAATAAAACAAAAGCTCTTGTGTGCACGCACGCTTCCTCAGATATATTGAAATGTAAGTTAACCGTTCATATCTTATAGGCAGATGCCTCTACATAGGTAAACAGCAAATTAGCATACAACTTAATGAAGATGTTTTTGACATGTGCAAATACTAAACAGCAATAACAAACTAAGTTCATATGGTCACCATTTGTTTGTATTTAATTGGGGGAAGGGGAACAGTGAAGTAATAAATATGTCAAAACAGGAGACAGATGTGTAAAAGTATCCTACACGTCTATCTCCTATGAACTTAGCTTGTTATTGTTGTTTAGTCTTTGCATATGTCAAAACATCTTCATTAAGTTATGTAGAGGCATACACCTATATATATGAACTGTTACCTACCATTTCGCTGTATCTGAGGAAGTGTGTGTGCACATGAAAACTTATACCTTGAATAAACTGCTGTTGGTCTTAAAGGTGCCCCACTGGATTCAAAATTTGGTCTACTGCTTCAGACCAACACGGCTCCCCACCTGGATCTAAATGAATCAAGATTAGTGAAAAGGTGCAATTTTGCCTTTGTTCTGTGTAATTTTATGATGGTTACAGAATTTGGTTTTTCCTTGGCATAGAATTTGGGTTATTTTGGCAAAAACATTTTAGTGTGTGTGTTCTTTTTTTTTAAAGCCCAGGTCACACAAAGACTGCATATGACGCATGCGTGTGACTGACTGCCAGATGGACCTCAACCACTTAAGCAGTTTGCCTTGGTAATGCGGCTGACTGACCGGCACCACTAACGTAACACCATGTGGATTTTCACGAATCATGTGCCATTCGGCACAGCAGCGGACATTTCTGTGTTCTGCTTAGGGTCAGGTTTCAGACTGGTCCAGAGAGCTCCTTGCTACCCAGGCGCGTGTGCAGGGCCCTGCAGACCTCTCTTTCCGGAACCACAGCCCCCCCCCCCCGCAGCTTGTGTTGGGAGAGTTTCTCTGACCTTCACGAATGAGGTTTCAAGGGAGCCCCACGGGCCCAGTTCGTGGGTCTTTCAAAATGGGCCTTTGTGAACAGTCGTTTGACAGTCTTACGGGGAGGCCTAAAAGGAAAGCCGGACTTACAGGTACCTGACTTGAAAGACTCAGGTTTGCGGCAGCTGCTTTTTTCTTGCTAGCGGTGCTGTTTGCGTTGTTCCCGGCACTGCTGTTGGAAGTGCTGCTGGTTGAATTTTTCCTTTTCCTCCTTTTGGTTGTCGGCTGTCTTGTAGGCTCTGCTATAGTAGACGTGCAAGAAGCAAAACAAAGTGACAGATAATGTATGCAAAGGAGCGTGGCAGGGGCAATCGTTGTCTCCTCCCTCCCCTCTCCCCTTCAAAGTTCCTGGTGCACCCACCGTGCCGAACCCAATCATTAAACGTTTGGAACGCTAATCTGGAGACGAAAGTCAACAATCATGCACACAAGACACTGACCCTTTGAAGACTTCGAAATCAAATAATATTCTGGTAGCCACTATTATCTCATTAAAAGATCTCCAGTAGTGCAGCTTGCAGGCATCAGGGCAGAGGTGAAGCCTGGCTGACGTCTTTTATCCTTTGCAGCTGCCAATATCCACCAAGACAGTCTGCATCTGCAACTGTGGGCTTTCCCACATTCTCATTTTCCTCGCTCGTGTGTTCCTGTCGCTTTGGGCTTTTCCCTGCTCTTCCACATTAGTTTTACTCTCTCTAGTGGCCAATTCGATACTACATCGCTTTATGTCCAGCATAAAAATCTGCAGTTTAAATCTGCAAGGAGATAAACTGGACATTACGCGATGTAATATCAAATCGACCACTAGAGGGAGCAAAACCTGTGCAGGAAGCCCCCCCCCCAAAGCAATAGGGATACACAAGCAAGGGAAATGAGAATGCAGAAAAGGCTCGACCCCTTGTGAAATGCAAGAAGGACTTTGGGAGGAGGGCATGAATCACTAGACTTCTGCTGGGGAGGGGCTGCAGTTTGGAAGGTCACCAGCCAAAGTTAGCTTTTGTCCCTTGGGATGCTGCTTCTGGGAGCTAGAAGAGCAAGTGCACTTCTCCTTTTATTTTATTTTTTAAATTATCAATTAATTTGTAAACCATATTGGAGACATCACGGCCTAAAGTTGGGCTAAAATATTTTACATAAACAATTTTGGTGATGTGCTCATCAATATAGCGGGGATCAATGCCCCCTCTAAGCTGTGGAGTCTTGTGAGCAAAAATTCTACTTTGTGAGCTACCGGCATTAAAATTGTGAGCAAGTGATTTGGCTCCTGCGTAAATTAATTTCCTCTGGAGCCATTCTTCCTGAGCTAACACAAAAATGTGTGAGCCGGAGGCTAAAAAACTGTGAGCTAGCTCATGCTAACTCAGCTTAGAGGGAACACTGGTGGGGACAAAGCGCGGTGACATATTGTACCCAACCCCCAAGCCGTGCAGTTCTCGCCTCTGAAAATAGTACTCGCTGGGGTTAGAGCCAGGGAGGTGGAGACCTTGCCAACTGGAACAGAAGCCTATACTAACTACAGAAGGATTGTATTGACTTATTCTGTGTAATCCGTCTCGAGTTCCAGTGAGGAAGGGTGGACTATAAACAGGGCAAATAAATAAATGTAAACAGGGAGGCAGTGGCAAGGCTAACCTAACATGGGAGAAAATAGGCTATAAATCTGTGACAAACGTGAAGGCCTGGCAAAACCTAACAGAAGCCGAGTTCAGACTGGCAGTTTGCCCTGATATAGGCATGTTTCAGAAACGTTCCACAACTGGATTAAAGGGGCCGTTCACACACCTGTCCGGCGTTTCCCACCTGTACTCAACCCGTCTTGTAACGCTTCACTCCCGAATTTAAAAGATACCTGGTGAAAGTGGTAACAAACCCTGGAAAGCGCAATTATCCCGTGTCCATTCCGCACCAACAAAGTGTGAATGCCAAAAGCCGCGGTATTCTTATACGCTTATGTGCACATGCACATATGTGAATAAGTGCTTATGCGCATAAGTGCATATCTCCAGATTACCAAAAAGAAAGCCGTGCCTTACAGCCATGCCTCTGGGCCAACAGTGTGAACGCTCCCTTGCGCCTCCTCCCGGTATGCTCCCACATCAGTCGCTGCAGTGTGAACGGGAAACCCCGGAACAGTTTGTTCCGGCTCTTTTTTGCCACGACTCCCTCCCGCTTCAAACAGCCAGTCTGAACTTGGCCAGAGTCTGAGAGAGAACGTGAACCCAAACCAGTTCCTCTCCCTTGGCTTAAGACCCAGTGTGGCTCTGTGAACAGGAGGGTGGGCTGCAGCCAGGGACAACTCGGTCCAGATCCTGGCTGGGCTCCCTGGGTGCTCTCGAGCTTGTCCTGACCTTGCAACAAATCCAGAGTCCCGTGGGGGCACCTTTGAGACCATCAAAGGTTTATTCAAGAGATGAGCTTTCTTGTGCCAGGCACACTTTTTCAAATGCATTAGAATGGAAGGCAGAGTTCAGACTTTTAGACAAGAGGCTGAACAGCAAACTAACGTGTAACATGATGAAGATGTCTTAAGACACCGTTATGTTACATGTTAGTAGGGTTCCCAGGTCCGGGAGAGGGCGGGGTTTGGGGAGGGGAGGGGCCTCAGCAGGGTCCAGGGCCACAGAGTCCACCCTCCAAAGCAGCCGTTTCCTCCAGGGGAGCTGATCTCTGTCAGCTGGAGATCAGCTGTAAAAGCGGGAGATCTCCGGGTCCCACCTGGAGGCTGGCAACCCTACATGTTAGCTTGCTGTCCGGCCTCTGTCTAGAAGTTTGAAACTTACCTGCCATTCCAATGTATTTGAAAAAGTGTGCCTTGCACGTGAAAGCTCACCCCTTGAATCAACCTTCCTTGGTCTTAAAGGTGGCAGGGTATGAAACTCTGGACTCCAAACTTTGTTCGCCTGCTTCAGGCCAGCACGGCTGACCACCGGGGACTTACCTGACAATGTCACTCTTTATCTTTCAAAGACGTTCGTCTGCCACTATGGACCATGGATATGCTTGCAAGGAATGCCTGCTTTCCAGGGGACCCAGTTTGAAAATGGTCAGTGCATTAGAAAGCAGCATGTGTGCTCTTTTGGCTGCGTAATATTAAGCAGGCCTTGAGTCATTTCTCCACAGGCCTCCACCCTCCGTCTTTTTAAGTCACCTGAACACGGGAAGGGCCAGTCATACCTGGAGGCGCCACCATGCGCTGCCATTTTTGAAACAAGCAAGTTTTCAGACAATCCCGAGGACTGAGATTGTAAGTTTTATGTCTTGACATCAGCTCTTGCATTGGCTCCAATATTACACACAACTGCAAAAGAAAGAACACAGGGAATTATATTTATGCTGAATGGTGCGTCTTCAAAGCATCCCTTGGATTGAAACGTGGCGTTTCGTTTCCCGGGCTTCTCTTCACTCTGCTAAGCAAAAGGAGAACAATCTGATGTGCCCTTCAATGCAGCGCGGTGTCATCTGTACTGACCCGGTAGGTCCCAGTGCTGTGAGGAACTTTATTTCATATTATTTTAAAATTACGCTGTAATCAATAGAGATTTGCTATATGGGTGGAAAAATAAAAGGAAAGAAATCATGTAGAATGAAAGGTTTTAGTAACCCAAGGCTGATATCATTTTGATTATTATTTTTTAATTTTCTTTCATAGTACACAGACTTGTACACTGTGCAATTTTTTCCCAACCCATGCTTTTGGAAAGGAGATGACCTCTTCAATTTGCTCTCCTCACCCAGTCCGCCTTTTCCTTCATATCTCTTGTGTTACAGATTTATAGATACAGGCATGTTATAGATCTATAGCCTATTCCCTGCTGAGCATTTTTCCCCTTAGGGCTTTTCCGCAGTCTCATTTTACTTGCTTGTATGTTCCAATTACTTTGGGGGTATTTTTCTGTTCCACATGCATTTTGCTCCCTCTAGTGGTCTATTTGATTTTATATCATTTTATGTCCAGCATAAAAATCTGCAGAGAGACATGCAGGAAGTAAAGTGATGTAATATTAAATTGACCACTAGAGGGAGCAAAACATGTGCAAAAGAAAAAAACACAAAAACAAACCAAGTCTGAAATAACAGGAACGCACAAGTGAGGAAAATGAGAATTTGGAAAAGCTGTTTGTCTAGGAACAGCACTCCTTTCCCCCATCTTCCTCTCAACAATTAGCTCTCTTCCTTACTCCTTAAGCCAGATCCTGTGGATCTGCAAGTTGTGGCATTTTCCATGAGCCTTCCCCAATGCAAGATGCTTTCCCAAAGTTCTCATGTCACGAGAAGGCTCTTTCTGCTCCTTCCGCCCAATGAAAGCAGCTCTAGGAGCAGAATGGATCCAGCCCCTTGTCACCATTTTCCCATTTCTGCTACTGCAAGTCTCTACCTTTTCTCTCCTTCTCTTTCTCTCAGTATTAAGAGGTGCTTTTCCAGTGTGTATAGTGTACAATTATGTTATGTGTGTATAATTCTGTTAGTTACATTAGTCCACCCTCTACATTGGACAAACAGGCCATTGTCTACGACAACAAATAAAAGGACATAAGTATGATATTAGAAACACAACATTCAAAAACCAATGCGGAAACATTTTAACTTTCCAGGACATTCAGTTGCTGACCTTAGCAGTTTTCTTATGAAGGAATTTTAAAGAGCGATTAGAGAGACTGCTGAATTGCAACTGATAATGAAGTTCAAGAGAATGCATCCTCCTGGAATGAATCAAGACCTAGGCTTCCTGTCTGATTACCAATGCTGATTTCTCCAGGCCTACTACCCCTCTGTATATCACACCTAATCCAATCACGCCTGCTATTGTCATTCACCTCCTATTGTTGTTCAGCACTGAAAATCACTCCACACTCCAAGATATAAGGACAGATGGGCTCCCATTCAGGCTGTATCTGAAGACGTGAGCAGTGACTCACAAAAGCTCATACCCTGCCACAATTCTTTTTAGTCTTTAAGGTGCTACTAGACTCTCGCTCTTTTCTACTGCTACAGAGAGACTAACATGTTGACCCATCTTGATCTTTCACCAAGTTTTAACAAAAAATCCAGACATCATCTTTGTCAACCCACTGCACTCAACCCCACCCCCACCCCACATAACCTCCTTTCTTATTTTAGACATGACTGTGGGAATTTTTAAAACATAAAATGTAATTCTACTTCCAGCTTGTTGAGGGGTCAGCCAATGCACAATGGAGGTTCTGGCCAGGACTATGAGGGCAGGAAAAATCAGTCATTAATTTCATGGTTTGTTTTTGTTTTTTAGCACTCATGGGGTGTGGTCACGCTGGCGGTTTGGCGTGGTACAGCACTGCCTCTAATTGTACTGGTTTAAAATGTTGCAGGGCAGGGGTCATTTCCTGCAGGAGCGCACAGAAGTGGAGCTCTGGCAGTAAAGAGCCCAGGGGGCGGGCACATGCAACAAGCCCCACCCCCTGCTCCCAGCAGCCCCGGGCCATGGGGAGAAAGAAGCAGCCAGGTAAGTTGCAGTGGGTGTTACCTTCTGACACACTTCTGGTGATGTCAGGGGGTGTGACATATGCAAATAAGTTGTCCTAATGAGTTATGCTAATGAGCTCCTGCACCTCTTTTTCTACGAAATGACCCCTGTTGCAGGGCGTAACATCCACACAGCACACCCTGCTGTGGGTTACCCACACGACCGTCCCCTGGTCAAGCATCCACATTACTGCAGTGCCTCAGCCACAGAGTGTGCTGCTGGGTCATTTTTTTAACATGCAGGTGGGTGCGTGCATATATGCGCATAGAGGCAAAACCTCAAAAAAACCCACAACCCCAGTGGCAGAAACGGATCTGCAGGTTTAGACTACACGTGCTCCCCTGCATTCAGTCATTCGGCCATGCGCACTGAATGTGCAGGGAACCGAAAACACCACTTGTGATGTGATACCTTTTTAACCCGGTTCCAAGTTGTCCTATGATGGGAGGGGTGGCTATGTCAAACCGCTCATGTGATCACACCCTTAGCGTGCAAGTCCAAAACGATAATTAAAAATTTAAATAAAGTTAGCAATGCCTTTGCCTAAAAAGTGAAAAACATCCCTTCCTTCCTTCCTTCCTTTCCCCTCCCTCCCAGCCAGAGATAAAACAGATAATTACATTAAAACCATAAATTACGATTAAAACAATTCTAAAACCATAATAGAGTGCTAGTAATTGTTGATAATCGTTGTTGTCCATAAACGGTAGCAGCCATCATTCACAGTTCTCAGCTCACAGTCAGCTCACAGTGTTCGTTTTGGTTGTTCTTGCAGAACTTGCTGTTGGCAATTTTCAGAATCCAGGGCTCTCTCCCATTCCACCGTCCGATGTTCTTCATTGGTGGCGGCGGCGGCTCCCAAAAGCCTGGTGGAAGAGCTCCGTTTTACAGGCCCTGCGGAATGACTGTAAAAGGTCCCGCAGGGCCCTGATCTCCTCCGGTAGCTCATTCTACCAGGGCCACCACCGAGAAAGCCCTAGTCCTGGTCGTCAACAGCCTAGCCTCCTTAAGACCTGAGAGGGCCAGCCGTTTCTGAGCCCCTGACCGCAGTGCTCTCTGGGGGACTTATGGGGAAAGGCGGTCCCTCAGGTATGTAGGTCCCTGACCATGTAGCATCACCCTTTGCCCCAACCTTGGAGAAAGGAGGCAAGCCACTGCAAGGCCAGCCCCTGAATTCCAACTTCGGTGAGGCAGTGGATCAGTAGCTGATGGTCAATCGTGTTGAACACTGCCGAGAGGTCTAACAACAGCACCACCGATCCACCTCAGTCCAGGTGCCTCTGGAGGTCGTCCATGAGGGTGACCAGTGCCGTTTCATTCCCATGGCCTGGGCGGAAACTGGACTGGAAGGGATCTAAGATAGAAGTGTCATCCGAAAAGCCCTGAAGCTGAGCCGCCACTGCCCTCTCTGTCATCTTGCCCCTTCCAATCCCAGACTGATCATTAACAAATTATTCATGGATGTCATGGCCTGCAATGGATGGAGAGAACAGGAAGTCATTCACTGGGCTGTAAGAAACAATCAAAGAAATTGCAAGGAAAAATGGAATCCATTGCTAAGCAGAACTAACTTCCGTAAGGCTCTCGCTCGCAGGGACAGCCTTTGCTGCATTATGGGAAATCTAGCCCTACATTTAGTGCCACGTGGAACCCCAGGTTCAATTCCACTTACCACAAGATGAGTCATAGTTCAGATATACAACACAGCTGTTTACGTGGGTAACACAGTACCATACTGGAGACAGGAATGCAGTCACAACTTTTAGGCTTTCGATATAAAGGAAAAAGACTGAAAAGCCGAACGGCTTCACAATACCATTCCCGATATTCCAAATGTCCCGCCAGGAAACCTTGTGCTCCTCCTACCCTGCCTTTGCAAACCAATGAAACCAACTGTTTGTCTGTTTCCAATTAATACGGTAACCTCACTGTTCTAGATGCCTTTTTTTTTGGGGGGGGGAATACTACATTTTGGAAAAGTCTTGGCAGTCTCAAGGATGGAAAAAAAAATCCGGCTAAGCTGTGATCCTAGTTAATTACTGTGCTTACAGTTGCTGTGCAGAACTGCTTTAAATTACATTCTTTGCACGGAGAATGAACTCTGTAAGGCATTCTGCCGTGTGGTTCAAGGGATTTTCTTAGGGTGACCAAATACAAGGGCAAAGGTCCTCTTTGTTCCAAAGAGAGGATTTTGCAAGGGTAATAATAGCTGTACCCACCAAAATTTACTCACCCACATAGCCATAGCTCTGAATAGTGCAAGAGCCCTGCTGTGCTACGTGCCCGGCCACCCACAGTCCTTTCCCCCTTTTTATACAATTGCTGCCATAGCAACTAATTTAAAGTTGCTGCCATATGGTGGTTGGTTCACTACTTGGGTCACTAGCAAAAATGAGTGATAGAGAAAGGTTCCCCCAGAAAGCAGACGTCTTTCTGCCCCCTTCTCCCCACCTCGAAAAGGCAGTCAGGGGCAGTGTTCCCTCTAAGCTGAGTTAGGGTGAGCTAGCTCACCATTTTTTAGCCTCCGGCTCACACATTTTTGTCTTAGCTCAGGAAGGAGGGCTCCAGAGCAAACTAATTTATGCAGTAGCCAAATCGCTCGCTCACAACTTTAATGCCAGTAGCTCACAAAGTATAATTTTTGCTCACAAGACTCCACAGCTTAGAGGGGCCCAAGTGCCTGCCCTCTCTTATACACATTCAGTACTCTTTACCATTGTCTAGCCAAAATTAGGGAAGGATGGATTGAATCCCAAAGCTTCACAGATGCCATTATAGGTGCAACGTATTCCTCACCC